AGTAGCCCCCCAGCGTCCTGCTGCTGCTTCTCAAGCCTATGGGATTCCACGTAGGCATCGGGGGGGAGGGGGGGCGAGGAGGAAAAATAAATAAATAACGGGAAAGTACAAGAAAAAAAGGAAGAAAGAACTCCCCCCCAAAAAACAAAAAAGCAAGCAAGCAAAGCACCCCCCTCCCCCGCCCAGACCCGCAACCGGGAACCAGACTTGGAAAACTTGAAAAAAAGTTTGTGCCTCTCTCTCTCCCTCTCTCCCTTTCTCTCTCCCTCTCTCTCCTCCCCGCTGTCAGGTGACTTTTTAGAATTAGAAGCTAATGAGCGTGGATGCTTTGGGGAGCCCAGTGATGGACCCTGCTGCACTCTCCAAACGGAACACGGCGCTGAGATTAGTAGACTTGGCAGGGGCTCATCACCACCACCACCATCATCATCATCACCCCCCTCAGAGCATGACAGGCTTCCCGGGCTTCGCCGGGCATCCCCACGCCATGGCTCCCACGCACCCTGGGGAGTACGCCGCGGAATCGCGCCTAGGGCCGAGTCCATTCCGGTCAGAGCACATGGGGCACCATCACCACCGCCATCATCCTCCTCATCATCATCATCACCCCGCGGCCCTTAAGCTCAGCCCTGCCCCTCATCCTCATCCCCACCACCAGCACCACCACCACCACCACCATCGTCCTCTGGCAGGCCAAGCTGAGGTGGTCTCTAGTCAAACAGGAGCATTTGGCCCGGCGCAGTCAACAACAGTCCCTTACCCAGTTTCTCACACAGCCCAGGCTATTCCAGCAGGTAGGGACTTTTTTATACGCAGAGATCTGACAGCCCCAGTCATGCCAGGGCTAACTGAGCAGCACACTGCTACAAGTTCTCACCACGGACTGTTTGTCTCAACAACAGGTAGCTACCCCGGACACCATGGTCACCACCACTCAGAAGCTGGGAATCATTCTCTGTTCACTGGACTCCATGAGCAGCCTCCCCATGCAGCTCCAGGTGGCCATCTAAACGGACAGATAAGACTGGGGTTACCTGGAGAAATGTACGCCAGGTCTGAACATTTCACTCAAGTACCAGCCTCCAGAACAGATCCTTTTGCTGCTTCTTCGCTTCATAGCTACGGTGGCATGAATCTGAACGTGAATTTGGCTCCACATCACGGCCCCGGCGCCTTCTTCCGTTACATGAGGCAGCCCATCAAACAGGAACTCATCTGTAAGTGGATTGAGTTGGACCAGACTCCCAAAAAATTATGCTCGAAAACTTTCAGCACGATGCACGAGCTGGTGACTCATGTCACCGTGGAGCACGTTGGAGGACCCGAGCAGTCCAATCACATCTGTTTCTGGGAAGAGTGTCCGCGAGAGGGGAAGCCTTTCAAGGCCAAATATAAACTTGTAAATCACATCCGAGTCCACACAGGTGAAAAGCCCTTCCCTTGCCCGTTCCCAGGCTGTGGGAAAGTGTTTGCCAGATCAGAGAACCTCAAAATACACAAAAGAACTCACACAGGTCAGTATGGAAAGCTCTCCTTACTTTCTCTATTTTATTCAGCATCCTGTTTAAGAAGTGTGTTGCTCGCGTTGTTAGTGAATGCACGCCAAATTATTCTTTAAAATACATGCTCAGCCTTGTTTGCTTTTTTTCCCGATTCGAAAAAAATGCACCTCAGAAGTAATGGATGTACGTTTTAGAAGCTAATGCAGACCTCTGTAACTTGTGTGCATATCTGTCTGAGTAAATATTGTAAGTTAGAGGCTGTTTCTTTGTAGACACTAAGGCGAGGAATTTTTCCCCGGTACTTTAAAAGTAGTTGGAGGGGGGGAATGCGATGGTTATGCAAGCTGGCAAATTAAAAGTGAACAATGGAAGTTACAACTTGTCTAGTCAGTTTTGACTGATGTTGCCGATATGCTGCTGCCTCTAACATTGTGAGAATAACACAGCTGCGACCTTTCCGTTCAACAGTTCTGTTTTGGTCAGATGGAGTTTCAAATGTTTGATCTGAATTACACTGACATTTTAACTGAGCATTACCATCTTAACCACTTCGTGCCGCTGCACATACGGGGGTTTGATTCTACGGAGGAAAAAGAAACCCCAAACCTGGTAATGTTTCGGCCTGCACATTTTAAAATGTCATTTGCAGAACTGTTAAGTGAGATTGGGACATGTGTCAGAAACATCTGTTAGTTCTAGTTAACAGAAAGGGAAGTAACTCGCTGGAAGATCTTGCAAAGCTATGCTTGAACTCTTCCGGCCAGAAAAGCATCTATAATTAATGAAATTGCACGTAGAAAGTTTTCACACTTCCAGGAGCAGCCTGTGAAGTTGTTTTAATTAGTTTAGCAGCCGGTGTTTGTAGTCTCGAGCGCTGGCTTTTTTTCTGAGGGAGAAGATAAGGAATAAGCCCTTTTTGGAAAATTAAATCTGTTCCAGCATAGGGTTTTCCACCCCTCTCCCCCTCCCTCCCCTGTACAGTCTTATGCACTGCTAGGGAAACTACATAATCCTATTGTAGGATCTGCTTACAGCCAAGCGATTTTTTTCGCCCTCCAGTTTATAAAACTCCCCCTCCCCCATGCTCGGTGTTCGCCTTGACCCGAGTGGGGCTGCATTTTACAATGCAACTCTCCGTGATATAGTAGGCAGGCGACATGGGCTAATTTTGTGTCGATATACTCTAAATATAGCAGAGCCACTTTATCCCCATTACGAAGCAGCATTTGGCAGGGCTGTGCGAACAGCTTATTTATACATCTATGCACGGAGGCTTGATGAGTCCAATACGCCTTCGGTCCTCTTTCTTGGAGTAAAACAGGAAAGCCCACGGAAGAGTCATGGTGTCTAAGGCATCTTCGGGCTGGCTCGGAACAGGTAGAGCCATTAAACAGGAGAGCCTGTCCCTTAATGACAGTGTTTTTCTTAAGTAAACAAACTTTTACTGCTCTTTAACGGCCTCACTGTTTGAAGTCTGTGAAGCAGAAAATGGTTAAATTCTTGGTGAAATTGACCTACATCAGAGAAGCAGGTTCAGGGCATGACAGGAATCGTGGGTTTGGGTTTATTAAACATCATTTCGTACGTACTTTAACTTTCCTAGTGATTAATTGCTGCATTGTGAAAACTCCTGCAGGGCCTTTACGGTTCTACCGTTTCTATTAAACACCCATAAGTTGTCAAAAACAAAATGTTTCTGAAATCGTAATAGAACTTGCTACAAATTATTCATGAAGACAGTTCTAGATTCAACAGGAAAATAATTGCCTCCTCAAATATTTATGACTTTTCGTTTCTCTGAGGCTGGGAAACGGGGGAAGTGAGTGGATTTCTTGCGATTTGAGAATTTTCGAGATTAAATTATAGTCATTAATTCACAAAGATACGGAACAGGCAGGGCTGGCAGGGATTCACTTTCTTCTTCAAGCTTGCCAGGAACAATAGTGAAAAGTCTGGGATGGGAAGGGCTTTTCCCAGCGCTACAACGTATCTTCCTGCTTCTAGTTTCCAAAGCCAGCATTCACAGTGCTATGCTCCCCTCCTCCCCCTGAGAATTTTGTAAATACCTTAATCCACTCGCGGAGTTGGGGGATTAGGCTACAATCTCCAAGTTGAATTTCACTGAGCAAGCAGTTTTGCACAGCTACAAGTGTGGTTTTAAAATGGCGGTTTCCACTCTCCGCTTTTCCAGAGCCGTGGTAACTTTTTACATTTGGGCTTACAAAGGAAGAACAGTCCAAAGGTCCTTTTTTCCTTAAAGGATACATATTTGCAGGCAGGAAACCCTGCTCTCTACCAGGGACCATTGCACATTCCTCGGCTTGCTCCTAGTTATCGAGGCGCTCAAAGAATGCGAGCCGGGCAGCTGAGAAAATGTGCCTCTCTTTTCAACCCGAGCTGATAGCGGGCGGACGAGCGGAGCGGAGCGGAGCGGAGCGGAGCGGAGGGGCTTCCCACTCGCCGGATCGCAGGGGCTCAGCGAACTGGTGCATTTCTCAGCTCCGGAGAAATGAGATCTGCCGCAGCCCCTTTTACCTGAATACAACTCGCTTTGCACAAACCCAGGTTTACGAGGATGGCTTTCCCAGGGGTCTCCTAACTTGCTGCTTGCTTGTACTACACTAATCTCCTTGATTTGTTGTCTCAACGTAGATGCTGAAGGTCAAACTGTTTCCTTACGTGAAACTGTCATTAGACTATCTAGAAACTACCCGTAGGTTCCTAAACCGACATTTATCGAGGCTATTTTGTTGCAGGACCTGAGCTGCACCGTTTTGTAAGTGATCTGATTTTTTTTTTGAACGAGTGTGAATTTTGCCAGGTATTTGCCTGTTTTCTATTCAAACCTTAGCGCTACAGTATGGGAGAGACTGTCATTGATTATTACACTGAAAGGGACTTAGTTTAAATATGGAGCCAGGACTTTTTTTCCCCCGCCCACCTTTTTCAAGTGCATTTGCATTAAATATTTAGCATGCATTAATTTATTAAAGGACCGCTCTATATTCAAAATAAATATAATAAAGGTTGCCTCGCTCCGAAATTAGTAATTGCAAGCTGCAAAGAAAAAAAATCAACATATATAAACATGCTACATCCTTTTGACCAAGTGCGCCATTATGGTGCACACAGTGGCTTTTGTTTGCACATCAAATCCAAATAAGTTCAGTCGCCTTTGCACACTGATACTATGTACTATTGAATCTTAAAAATAATATTCCCGCAGCTCAGATAGCAGAAGAGTCGTGCCCCTTTGCACGCATGTTTTGCGGATTTATGTGATCAGTTAGAGCTCCGAATATCATTTAATGCTGCAATTGTCTTGAAACGCGCACCCTATGCATTACGCAGTGCATTCTTGTAGAGAATTGTAGGTGTTCCCTCTCACGACTCAAGCAACGCGATTATATTTTTGCGATGTTTGACCTCACATATCACCACCGAAACGAGACCCGATTTACATCTCCTTCATTACTAGTTTTGTTAAAATGGTGTAAGGCTCTTACCCTAACAACAACATCAGCAGCAGCAGCAGCAGCAGCAGCAGGCATTGGCCTAGTCACCCTCTCACTGAGACTGCATCCTTTAACATCTCACAATCAATGTGCTTTTAAGAGGACTCCGGTCTTTAAACATCTCGAGATAACGTGCGGTTGCAGCAAGTGGAGGGAAAAATCAGTCGTATATCTGAGATACAATTGTAATCAATACAAGAATACGCTGTATCAGATGTGACTGAGCAAGGTTATGAATAAGACGCACCTCTGGGAGTGTGAGAGATGTATTTAAGGTACAGACGTTCCCAGGCACAAATCACTGACCACTCCTGCCAGAGCGCCATTGACCCCTGCCACACAAAGCACACACCGGTCACTTGCAGTGCGCACTCGGGCTTTAAGTTGTCCGGCTGCTTTGTCCTGTGCACAAAACTCACTTTAAGCAACAATTTAGGGGAAGGGGAAATGACTAGCGTTCAATAAGGGAGATCGGGCCGCTGGGGCGACAGCGTGGTGTGTGTGTTTGTGCGCGGTTGTGCGTGAGCCATTGTGCAGGAGGCAGCGGCGGAGAGGGTGCGTGGCGGGTGTATTGTGCCTGGTGCGGTGCGGGGCGGGGAGGTGCGTGATGCGGCGCGCGTGACCGGTGCTGTGCGTGTCGGGGGGGCGAGTCCATGTGCACGGAAGGGCCCCATGGTGACGTGCTGCTGGGAGCCTGGGGCGCGTGGAAAAAACAAAGGCACCGGCCCGAGCGCACCGTGGAGGCGCTGTGCGAGCCCGGGCGGGCGCAGGCCGGGGCCGCGCCCGCGCTCCTGTCCTGCTGCTGGCGGCGGAATGGGGGGTCCCGGCGGAGGGGCCGGAGGAGAGCTCTCCGTCCCGGGGGCACGCGGAGGGACTGCATGTTGTAAAGCCCTGAGGACCCCCCTCCCCCCGCACCCATTTTACTAATGTCTGTCCTCGTTAATTGCATTCTTCCAGGGGAAAAGCCATTCAAATGTGAATTCGAGGGCTGTGACAGACGCTTCGCCAACAGCAGTGACAGGAAGAAGCACTCTCACGTGCACACCAGCGACAAACCGTACAACTGCAAAGTGAGAGGCTGTGACAAGTCCTACACGCACCCCAGCTCCCTGAGGAAGCACATGAAAGTGCACTGCAAGTCCCCTCCGCCGAGCTCGGGCTACGAGTCCTCCACCCCGTCCCTCGTGTCTCCCTCCTCGGACTCCGGCCGGGAGCCGCCCGCCTCCTGTTCGCACGCCGAGCCCGCGGCGTCCTCGCAAAGCGCCGCGAACCTGAGCGAATGGTACGTGTGTCAGAGCGCGGGCGCCAGCGCCACCCCGACTCCTCCCAGTCACTCGCCGTCTCCGCGCCCGCGAGAGGCCTCTTGCACGAACTGCGAGCCCAGGCCCAGTTGCTAAGCGCACACACCACTGAGAAAGGGCTTCGCCCGCTCCGCTGTCCGGATCTCCCCGCACCTGCCTGGCCTCCCCCTGGTCCCTTTGCCAGGCGGGAGCGGTGCACAGCGGCTGCCAGGCCACTCCAGGGGAAGCCTCGCTAAGGGGGGGAGCAGGGGACAGAGGCGCCGCGCGGGCACACGGCCACGGGCCAGAAGACCCCTTGTAACATAGATTCAGCCCTTCCATGTTCCGAACTGTGTCCACGGTCCCCAGCACACGTGAAGGCAACTTCCGTTGGTCCTCGTTGCTCCCGCATCCTCCCCGCATTGCCCACACACCTCCGGCCGGCTCCTGCGACTCTGTTTACAAGCTCATCGATCTTAACCGTCTTTTGTATCAAAGAACCAAAGTGCTGCCACGCGGATTTCTAGCTGGACAGGTTTTGTTCTCCTTGGTACCTTGTGCTAGAGTGTTTCCTTAGCCCACGGTTTGCTGTGAGTGCCTGTGGTTTTCCTTCCTTCCTTCCTTCCTTCCTATCTCTTTCTCTCTCTATAAATATCAATTATTATTTGCTACCGAATTGTATAAGATGGATCAATTAAATTCTTTGATTAATTAACCAGTTCGCTGGACGTTTCTGTAAAGAATCTCATTACTTCTCCCTGGTGCAGTATCTACCTACATTTCCCCCTCCAGGTTATCCCTAATAAAAAAAAAATGCCCAAGGGCTGCTTCATGATTTATTGTCCATTTTAGTTTACACTAGTAATGACTTTTAATACATAAACATATTTCACCCCTCCCCTCCCCTCCCCCCAAAAAGTGTCATTCCTGTTGAATTGTGGGTTCTTGTGATTTCTTAGAGGTGGAGGAAGAAAAACCATGTACGTGGGTGGGGGGAGGGGAGAGCTGTTATCGGTGACGTCATTGTGCTGAATCCGCGGGGGCTGGAACTGTCCGAAAGGACTTGTGAGTTGTCAATTTCTCTGAATGAATCATGTAAACTCGGTGCTGGTCTTGTCTAAAGCACACAATGTTTGTCCTGTAAAAAAAAATCATATCTATACATATATATGCCATATATATATATATGACAATACATTTTGCAAGAGCAAAAGCAAACAGGCTTTAGAATGTTCCTCGTAGCTAAGATCCTAAAACTTGCATCTCTCCAACCTGGCATGAATCACTCCTAGGAAAAAAATAAAATAAAAATAATCGTGGGCGGGGACAGGGGGCTGGTGTGTGTGTGTGTGTGGGGGGGGGGACCCTGCTGGGAAACCTGAAAATGCCCGATTGATATAATTTTAATGACTTAATGATGTTTAAAAATACCACGTAGGAAAGGCAAATAAGCAGCGAGTTGCGCTGGGAGCGGTTCCCCAGGCAGGCTCCATGCAGCCCCCGTGCCTGCGAGGACTGTTCCGTTCCTGTCCTGTGCAAAACCCCCCAAGTAATGATCGGTTCAGTCAGGTAACCAGGGTTAATGCCGTATGACCCCAGGAAAAATTATCCGGACAGTTGTGAAAGAGAACAGCAGCCCAGTCACCTTCCTTCCGCCGCAGCGTTATTCATTTTTTTTGGACAAAGGCACTACTACCTAGTGATTTCACGTCGTCCTATTAAAAGATGGGCAACTTTTGTTTAATCCCCTCTTGCTAGTGTAGTTGGCAACGCAACTAACGATGACCCAGCCCCATCCAGAAGGCGAGGTCTCCTTAATGCATGTTCTAGTCACATAAAAAATACCAGCAGCACATAGCACGATTGTTCCCCACTGACTGTACAAACCATGAAACTTATCCCGTGGAAATTAAAAGGTAGGGAAGCGATCAGCGAGGGGAGATGGGGTTTCCACCTTGTCTGGAGATCTGTTTATTTCTCTATTTCTTTATTTACCGAAGTGTTTGGATGTGCAAGCTAATCACCTTTAATTTTTCATGTGCTTGTTACAGATGTCTACCTCGGTGCTCTCAAGGTAATCTAGACAGACGCAGCTGAAAGCCTGATTCTTATGCCTTAGACATCAAAGAAAGCTCGCACAAAGAAGTATTTCTTCGCAACGGTGAATCTTCATGGTAAGTTAGGATTTCTATGGCAATAGGCAAGTCATACTTAAATAGTGAAAGGCGAAGTCTGGAGCCCGTCCAGTCTTTTCATCAAGGACATAATATTTACGTCTAACAGGCCCTTTTTCTTGTGTATACAAGTATATATTTTTGTTTGACGCGAACTAAATCATTTTCATTTAATTTCCGGTAAACAAAACCCACGCGAATAGGCACTTGTTCCAGATCATAATCAAAATGGATAAGAATGGCAGGAAGAAAAGGCCCGCCTGAACCGGCGCGTCAGCTCACTTTTGTTTCTGCTCTCTGCCGTGATCAGAGAATGCGTTTGGGATTTGATGGCGAGTTTCTAAAGGCAAGGAAATGGTTTTTAAGGGGGAAAAGAAAAGGAGAAAGGTCTAATCAAGCTTGGGTTGTTCAAAGGGTCTGATTTTGGGGTTGAAAGTGTGAGTTTTATGGTGCATCAACATGCCACGTTAGGATCGCTATGGTAATGAGCAGGGCAATAGCAAGCGGCCTTCAAAGGAGGCACACTCCATTTGAGACAGTCTATTAAGATACATTTGCACTGACCTTTGGTTTCATGCTAGCTTAATACAGTCAATCTGCTCTTCGTCAGAGATATACATCCTCCCCCTCCTACACTTTCACAAAGGTTTTGTTTGCCTTCACCCTAAGGTGGGCTTTGCTCTGGCACTCTTGCCTTGCGATTCTTCCCCCAAAGGAGGGGCTTCTCGCTACGCACCCGTCCATCCTCGAGGTTAGCACCAAGTCCCCTCCTAACTGGGGCAGACTCCGAAGGGTGAGACGCCCCGAATCGATAGTGCCCACGAAGGATTTCTCCCCCTCCCTCACACATGAGAAGTTAGGAAATTAAAGGGACACTGGGGCTTTCTCAGCCTAATAGACTGGGGGCATTGAAGAGTCAGCTTATGGCACCCTTCAAAACAAACAGGGAAGAGATCGGTGGCAAAAGTCCCCTCCCCTCTCGACAGGGGCAGGTTTGGAAAGTGGTAAGCGCCTGGAGGGAGGAAGAACTTGACACCCGGCTGGCCGAGGCCATGGGCGCTGGGTGATGGTCCAGGAAAGTTAGAAGTCCACGTTGCAGTAATTGTCTTGTTGTTTATTTTATCCAAGTACCCCAGTGAATAGGGGAAAAATAAACACGGGGAAAAAATTTCAAACAGTTGAGTCGTCTTTAGTGCCAGCCCTTGTGGCTGAATAAAAAGGATGGTCCAATTTCTATTGAGCTGAGAAATCTTTGAAGTGGGAGTTATTATCTAAGAAATTCCTGCTTGTCGTCCTAACAACGCTGATGAAACGTAAAAGGGTCTTTGTCAGCGATTTGTTCTCCTCTCTGTCAAACTCACCCTGCCCGTTAGCTCGAGACCGTTTCTAAAGAGATAAAATCAAACTTTTAAAAGGTAACTTCAGGGGCTCGAAGGAGACAGAAACTGCCAAAAAAGCCAGTGCTCCGTGTAGCCTCCATATGCCAGTGCATGTGTCCGCGTGGAGCCCCGTGCGGGCCGGCGGAGCCGGGCTCCTCTCTGCTCCGCGGGCTGAAACACTCTCCACTTCTGCATTTTATCTTCTGAACTTTTCTGTCCAATAAATTTCTCCTCCCTGTTTGCTGCCCCGACTCCAATCCTGGTGAAAAAAGCTGCAATGGAGGGTTGCATTAGCACCCGTCTGTAACCAACACATGTTTTCTTTCCTGTATAATGGATACACTTCAGAGAAAAGGCTTTGATAATTTTAACATTCGGATACCTATTAAGCATGTATATACTGCAATGTACTGACATTGTTACGCATTCAAGGAGATGGCTTCCATATGTTTCCATGTTTTATTGTCAATGAGTGTGAAGATAGTCAAATTGCATCTCTGTGTATCTTCATTTTATAAACATTACAGTGTGCAGTTAAACGGTGCCCTAATGAAGGCTTATGTAGGAGTTTTACATATGAGATCATTAAATGCTATGTTTGTAAAAAGAATCCCCTGAAGTTGTAACTCATCAGTGTACTTTTATTTTAGTTGCCCTACAAGGCTTTGAAAGCCCACGCCTGCTCTTCTTCTCGGGCCCATTGATTTAAATGGGAGTTTGCCTGAGAAAACACTGAGTCAAACTGCAGGGAATTGGGTGCTTGGTTATTAATTCAAGATCCTGTCTCTTGGCATATTTCTAGAAGAATAAAATGTTCTCAATGATTGTGAGTATTCCAGCACAAATGCATCTTCAAAAGTCACTCGATAAAAGGGTTAAAAATGTTGGAATATTGTATCTCTTTCCAGACGTCTTCTAATCCATGGTTTTCTCCATCGCACAGTTATGAAGGGATTTTACTTTGTGTGTTTGGAAAAAAAGTATTTATTTTTAATAATTGGATTTTTACAATAAATATTTATAAACGTACCAAACTTGTGGGTTTTTTTTTTATAAACGTATATTTCTAAACACGTGTGCTTGTGTCAGCTACACCGAGCCACTTCTAAAGGACACCTTGGATAAACCTTCTGCCTTTTAATTATACATTTGACGTGAAATAATAATATCAAAAAGCCCTACATCTTTTGGACATAGTCTCCCAGCAATGGAGAGCTCTGTTGGTTTCTAAAGCCGTTCGGTCTAAATTATTTTAGACAATGATTTCTTTTTTGTTTTGGAAATCATATTAGAAAACAAAGGCTTGCCAGGACTTCCGAGAGAATATTCTTCCCCCACACCCAAAACTTCAAGGCTAGCTGTAAATACTGGCGGAGGGTTAGGGTGAGAAAGCGGGAAGTAGTGTCAGCTCTGTTCTTCCCTTCCCTTGTTTTGTCTCTCCTGGTTTTCTTTGCCAGCAAACGGATTCCTTCCAAATAAATTCCTCCTTTTGGATTTCCAGGATATTCCGGAAAATGACAAATGGCTGGGAACTAGGGCTGTTGAGTTGTTGAGTTGTTGTTGCTCAGGGAAGTGCCCCCAACACACAGAGCCATTGCTACACTCACGCTTTTTGCGAGCTTCCTCACCAGGGTCTGAGACACTGGTTAAGACAAAATTAGTTTGTCAACAAAAGTAACTGAAAGGTAACCATTCATTTTCGTTATGCATCTCCCAGATTTTGAATTCCGTAGGTTGCAGAGTTGAACAACTCGTGAGCATGCTCAGAATCGCCAGAGCTTGACTTTTTAAATCTTATTTTTCCAATTATGAACGATGCTTCAGTCTTATGCACATAGCGGTCTTCAGGCCGCTTCTGGAGTGGCGCGCATGCGCACTAGCTTATATATTTTAAAGCAAAACTTGAAAGAAGTTGCCTAACGCAGAGACAACAGACGGCTAGCTTTTCCTCTGGCAGGAATATTGTCAGTAAAGAATACCTTAGAATATGGAGGGAGAGAGCGAGGGAGCAAGAAAGAGAGAGAGAAAGAAATTTACTGATTTTTAAAGGCGGCAAAATTGGCACATAAAGAAAAAAGAGAGCTCTCACTACATGCTAATTAAAGTATACAATTCTATGGGCTATAATGATTGAGCGAAGACATGTAGTTATTACACTTGACTGTAGTCAACAAGGGACGGAATGTCCCCTTAGACAGCATGGGGAGAGACGTGTGGGCATTATTAGTGGTCCTTTTATAGACATTGCCTTTTCTTTCTCAATGCTGACAAACCATTTTGGAGGGATTCATCCCCTGTTGCTTCCTATCATGGATCCCCATGCAAGCCCCTGCATTGTGTAAGTGCATTAATTAAAGACCATTCATTTAACAAAAGAACATTTGTATGTTAAGGAAAGGAAGATTAGAAATATGAATCAGTAAAGCAAGACCACCGTTTCCACAGAGAGATCCCTGAGATGAAGACACAGGAAAGCGATTCTGTTAAATGCACTTCACCTCGCCCCTCCGCGCGCTCCGCACCTACTGCGGCCAGGCCCCTGGGACGGCGCACCCAACATTTCTCACAATCAGGAAGGATTGTTTTCAAGTGTCCCTAGAATGGCTCTTAGCGTTTTGCATCGCGTTACTTAACCTTCAGCTCCAACGTGTCCAGCGAGCCACTGATGCTTAGGCTGTAGGTGAAGGCTTCCTGCTTGCCTCTTGCCTATCAACGTTTTGAATGCTGCCAGCCTGTCAAGAGTGAGTAACGCAGCAGAGATGTGTCAATCTTGCCCCCTGCTCCCGGTATAATAATATCTTTGGATAGCGACTGCACTGTAAAGGCAACACTCCCGCAAGATCGTATACAGCTTGGCAGAGAAAGAAATGCCTGAAACATAGCCAAGATAGCTGTGTGTGTGCGTGTGTTTACAACCCTCCTCGTGAAGACCTGGACCGACTTTGTTTTGTTGAAATGGAAGTAGCTAATTCACTAACGACGCCCATGTACCCACGCGTGTGTGTGTGTGTGCGCGGGGGTGGGGGTGGGGGTGAGTGTGTGCTTGCATATCAAGCCCAGGCGTTACTTTCACAAGTTTGGCCGCGCAGCCAGCCCAGGTCCTGCCCAGCACGTGGCCAGAAGACCACTGTCTCGGTAATCCGGTGCTGCAATGCTGATCGGGACAAAAGCAGGGACAGTCGTGAGAAGATTAAGGAAAATGGCTCGAAACCGAGTCCATGTGGGTGCAGCGAGCGTCGGAGTCCCCGTGTTCCCCACGTGACTTGTTAAGCGGCTGCAGCTCCGCTAAAGCCCTGGGCCATATGTTGGTGTCTTGACTCCCTCTGTCTTTTTTAGGGCTTCGTGTGGTGAATAGTACTCCTAGGATATAAAAGGAAGGGCATTAAAGTAAATGAACAAGAGAAAAGGCCACCTATCCTACATACCATGTCACATATTTGAAGTCTAAGCCTATTTCAAGTACCAGTAGAAGCAATCCCAGTTTTGTGTTAAGAGTCCAGGTTTGCACTGCACAGTGACACATGGGTAGGCTTGGGGTTTTCCTAGGCAATGACTTCAAGGTTCTGCTGAAATAAACTGGAAGAACAATAAGAAAGACACGTTAACCAGCCAGGAAAAAAACCCAACACCACCTCATGTGTTTGCTCATTATGGCAACAGCTTCTGGAAACCTCCACAGTTTGAGTGTGTGACTGGGGACTTTTTCAACGTTTCCTGCACTTGGAGGTAACATTGGGATCCGAGAGGACCGGTGCCTGCCTTGTTTGCGTTCTTCAGCGATAGTTATCTCGGTAAAGCGGAAGCGGTTGCAAATGTAAATAAGGATACTAGACATGCTTTGTTTTAACAGAGATCATCCTCGCTCGCTGAATTAAAACGCATTTTGAGTATGTTCCTTCTGTTTATTAAAAAAAAACCAACCCACCACCCTATCAAACCCCGGTTATTTTAATGCAAATATGAACAACCAGATTATGTCAGGAATTAATCAAAATAGGTCTTGGATCTGTAGGTTAGGAATGCGCATTGCACTTCGGCTCCAGAAGTTCTTATTGTGAATTGTAGGCTCAGCAAAACCAAAGCTAGTGTGATCGGCGGGCAACACACAAGGACTGAGGTCTTCAGAGACTCGTCCTTACGCGACTTTCTGTTTCTGAATAAGACAGACACAGAGGCGCTCAGCGCAAGGTCTGCACCGCAGTTCCGGTGTGTGCAATAATTAGTGGGTAACAATGGGCGCTGATTACACTCCAAACATTTCACCTACGCTTGGTTCTGCCATTCTAGATATCTCAATCAAGAGTAGATGAGTCTAGCCTTCGTAAAATGACAAACGTCAGCTCAGAGTGCGCGTACCTGCCAGGGCTCACATTCAATAACCACGTTAAAGCCAAAACACTCTGCAACTTCTGACTAGTTTTACAGTTTCAGGACTGGGTTGACTGATAGGTTCCTACCTACTTTGCTGCCGTATTCATAAAGCAATGAGAGCTCTGATTCAAAGCTCCAGTCCCTAACAAACGGGTTTGTTCTCCTTTATTTCCAAATGCGGATCCTTGTTAACTTTTTTTTTTTTCAAATGAGGCTGCCCCACTTAAATTAGGTTATATCATATAGCTATATGGGAGAGGATGAGGTATTAAAGCATTGACTAAAATGATTAAATGTAGACTTTCCTTGAGGAATTCTTTTTTCCCTCTACACCTGAGTATCTGTTAATCCTTGCATATAGTTGATAAAGTTGAGGATCTCTCCTAGAAATTGCTAGAAAAAATCGATAAGAAAGAAATTAGGAGTCAGTTGATTTTTATTGTCCAGAAGCAGGCCAACTTCTTTTAAAAGGGAGAAAAAAAAACTGTTGTAAAAATACAGAGACTCCTTTAAGTGTGAAATATCATTTCATTGTAAATAGTCAAAAAAGAATCGGTAATCCAACTTCCGGAAACTGTTCTGAATTATTTCAGCAGACTCTTTTAAAAGGGGATTAGCGGGGCTTTAGGGGCAAAATCCTTCTGTTTTATTCAATCTCTGATTTTATGTTATAATTACTAGATGTAAAGACTCTTGAATTAGTATGCAGGAGTCGTCCAGACATTATGCAGGTGCTATTCTAATCATTCAGCTTTTTAATTAAGGAACGAGGTAAGAAAACAGAATCATAAAAACACTTTTGTGAGAGCTGAGAAAATCGTGAGCGACTGCATGAATAAAGCCTTTATACCTTATCCTGACAGGTCAGACACCAATTGCCTGACTTACGACCTTTTCTTGATGAAACAATGGTTAACAGCTTTCTCACCTTGTTCCCATTATAGGCTTTATTCTCGTAGAGAATTTATGGAAATGCCCATAAAATGCATACATTAAAAGGGGAGGAGGGTATTGCAATTATAATTGATACGGATCCTGGACAAAGATACCGATCGCTCTGAAATCGCTAGGCAGCATATTTGTATGTCCGAAGGTCACACGCACACATAGAAGTGGGGACAAGTCAGATTAGGTTTAGGGCATAAAATTCATATCTACAAGAAAAAGCAAAACTTTATGAGATGAAAACTGACCCAGGCTGACACGTACAAGGGAATCCATATTGCCTCTTTGTTCAAGACATCAACACGTACAATCCTGCTGGATCTCCTAATAAAAACTTAAAGCTTTTGTGTGTCTGGTTTTTTATTTTTTTTTAAATTTCCTTTCCTCCCCCACTGTCTCCCTGGCACACACTTTGCTGCATCACGTGTATTAACATATGAATGAAACAACCACAGCCAATGCATTTAAGGTAATACCTATGCCCTGTTCTTGCCTGATTATCTTTTTCTGGAAAGTTACATTAACTGATGGCATTTACATAAATATGAATAATTATTAAGTTGGAGTTTCTCCTCTGCCAGTGGCAGGAATCTTTTCTTCCAGGGAGCAGATACTCATGGTCTAGACTTCAG